GGGGGGGGGGGGAGGACAGAATATCAATAGCTGTGTTCAGTTCTCCATTTATTCTCCTAGAGTCAACATTTGCTTTGCTTTTCGTGGGAAATTCCATTGGGACCAGTGTAAAACTTCCATGTAATATAAAGATGACAATCTTTTCCAGACCACTATTGAAGGAATTAGAATTAAGTTCTGTCTTATTTTTTGCATTTTAGATTTTAAATTGTGGAACGATAGGATATGTACCTTTCTAAATGCCTACATCTGTAAGTACCAGCTGTAGAGCTATCTGGAAGAAAGTAACCGGGATGCAACCAGAACCGACTGCAAAATATCTGCAAATTTGATCGACACCCTGTTGATTTTACTGGATCTGATCAGATATTCTCCCTTCCTCGCCAACATTTCCTCTTAGCATAGACGACGTCACCATTACCCTGTTCTCCTGACTTTTCTCAATGGAAATAGAATATGAATAAATTCTCTGTATCAGATATATAATACAAAGTTTCTGGGAATATTTCTGTCATTCAACAACAGGGGATGGCAACATTTGGTGGGGCTGGGTGGGATGGAAGCAGTTGTATTGGCTGCATCAAATCCAAGAATTTCATCCCAGTGTTCCAGGATTAAGGAATATAAGGAATGAACGGAGGAGAGAGAGGAGAAAACACATGGTGGCTCCCAGGGCATCATAGCAGCAGGGGATCAAAAACGTCAAGATGGCAGTCATGACTGAGTTTGAAGCAGCAACCTTTTTTTCATGCATCCTTTTGAGCACACAGTTATAGCCACCATCTTGACTCGTATAGCTTACCTTCAGATGCCCCTGTTTGCCTCCATCACCTGTTATTTTTCCCCCCTACATATATTCCTAAGGAGACACAGTATTCAAAGATTGAAATGCTGTCGGAAAGGTAAAGAGATGAATTTGCAACACTGCTGAAGTCTGGAAGTTTTCAACAAAAGATTGGACAATCACTTTTTTGGGATGGTGTAAGGCAATGGTGGTAAACTTATGGCACCTGTGCCAGAGGGGGCACTCAGAACCCTCTCTGTGGGCACGCACGCTGTCGCCCAAGCCCACCTCCCCCCATGGCCCCCTCCTCACCAGCAGCCACCCTGGAGGAGAGTCGCCCCCAGGCACAGCCTGCGCGGAGTAGCGCAGCCAAGGACATGGCAGCCAGGCAGTGGGGACAAGACTCCATCCTTGTGCCCTGTCATGCAATGATGCTGTGGGGCATGGCCGGAGGGTGTGGCCACCATGGCGTAGCTGGACCACCTGGGCAATCGGAGGACCTGCGGGTGGGGGGGGTGGGGGCGGGGCAGGCAGGGTGGGGGCAGAGCAGGCGGGGTAGGGGACGGGGTGGTTTTTGGGCACTCGGTCTCTAAAAGGTTCGCCATCACTGGTGTAAGGACTCCTGCCTTGGGCAGGGGTTGGACTAGAAGACCTCCAAGGTCTCTTCTAGCCCTATGATTCTATGATTCTAAGTTATATGGAAGGCAATGGATGTCAGAATCAGATCTCCTCCTAGATATTTGTTCATTTCTCAACAATTTCTCTTTACTTCTAACTCTGACATTTTGGAATGCTTTTAGGATGGACTGCAAACTTTGGATAATAGATTGCTCACTTTGTTTTGAAAAATGTTCGCTCCATTCTATTAATTGTCCTTGCAGGACAAGCTGAATTAGGTTACAAGAGAATTAGCATGTCATACAGATAGTGGAATACATATAGTGGTAGCATTATAGAAGTTAGTCCCAATATAAAATCGCCACAATTTTAGGGACTATCCTGAACTTGACTTATCCTAAAAACCTAAACAAAATCTGACCTGATTAGGATGGTCCACTGACTTGGAAAGTCAAAAATTGAGAAAGAAAATAAATAACAAAATACTTCTAAAGTGTTTTTGGAAAAGTATATGGACTTGCTCATTGTAGTCCCCAGGAGTAAAGCATCACTTGAGTAAGGTGACCAACTTTTTTACAATGAAAAGGAGGACACAAATAAATTGAAGAAAAAAATATCGTAAATAAAAGAAACATTTTATTCATTGCAACAATAATACAGAACACACTATAATATGATAAATGCATAATAAAAAACATTTGTAACAATAACATTTTATATTGTAATTATGCTTACATGCCGCACCCCCGCCCGCAGCCACCCCGCCAGCACTGCTGCCCCGCCGTGTAGAGCGGGCCCCACAGCTCCCAAGGCACCAGCTGCACTGGCTCCAGCCCCAGGAGGCAGCCTGCCATCGACACACCCTGCCTGCAGCCGCCCCGCCAGCACCACCGCCCACCCTGCACAGCCCCATGTAGAGCAGGCCCCGCGGCTCCCACAGCATGGGGGGCAGCTGGCCACCGCCGCCCCTCACACCCCTGCCCACAGCAACCCTGCCGCCCCTGCCTCTTGCGCCCGCAGCCATTATTGCCCTAGCAGGGTCGAAGATCAAGAGAAAGTTACCATGGCATCGCTGCTCCAGTCTCCTCCAGGTATCTTTGGGACTAACTAGGAGATGGTGTAGTTGGTAAGCAGGGAGGGGTGCAAAGTTCCTGCCAATTTGCCTTCACTGCAGACAACTTACATGTGCAAAGTTTGCCAGCTGGGTGTTTTGGCGCACTCAGCAGTAATTCCTATTGGCTTTCGAAAGCCAACAGGGGGAGTAGCACAGCTCATGCAAAAGTTGAAAAAAAAACCTTCAAAAAAAGGTGCCGGAATGCCGTTCTGAGTGTTCTATGAGAAAAAAAAAGCCCTGCAGATTAGTCTTCAAATATCGAAAAGGAGGACATGTAGGAGGACACTTTTTGAGGGAGGACAGAACTCACAAAAGGAGGACTGTCCTCCCTAAAGGAGGATGGTTGGTCACCTTACACTTGAGGGAACCATTACTATAAACCTTTCTCTCCATCCCAGTTCAGTCTGGAAAAAAAAGAATCAAACTTCTTCTGCACAGCGGCTCTCCTCGTTGTGTGGAACATCTCCACTGACTCCATTAAATTTTTCACAAAAAGCAGAGAATGTTGATTTCTGGGGAAGAAATGATGAACTGAAGATGACTCTGCTAAAAACAGAGTTGACAGTGGTGAAATGAAGGGCCGACAAGGAGACGAATTCTTCATAATTCCTCTCAAGACAGACTTCCAGTCTAGACAAGTGCTCCAGACAGTTTCTCTTCCTCCTTTCGTGGAGACCACAAGACAGTGGTCTCTGGCAGGTTTAGAGTTCTGTGAGATGATGGAATAACTATGTCACTGAGACCACGGTCTGTACCTTTAAGGATACTCAATATATAAGTCTTTAAAAGCAATGTTAAGGACATTGAGTATGCCTACTTCCTTTTCTGATCATTTTCACAAATGTTTTGTTAACTGCATTTCAGCTATTAGGAATATTCGCATCAACAGGGTTTACTGCATAAAGTGAATGTCCTTCATTTCTTAACCAAATAGGTTTTAAACATAACATTAAGAACTTATATTATTTGATTTTAGAAAGTTACAAATGGATGAAGGGTCCAGATAAATTTTAGAATTAATTTTAAGAATCTTTCCCATGGAAGGATATACGTATATACTGCTTTACAATGTTTTACAACCCTCTCTAAGCGGTTTACAAACTCCACATGTGCCCCCCAAAATCTGGGTCCTTAGACAAACGGCTGTCCAGTCTCTTCTTAAAAACTTCCAGTGTTGGAGCATTCACCACTTCTGGAGGCAGGTTGTTCCATTGGTTAATTGTTCTAACTGTCAGGAAGTTTCTCCTTAGTTCTAGGTTGCTTCTCTCCTTGATCAGTTTCCACCCATTGCTTCTCGTCCTGCCTTCAGGCGCCTTGGAGAATAGCTTGA